ATGCCTCTTATACTCCCGCACCCCGCTCCCCTGGGCTTCCTGATCCCCCCCTGCACCCCGCATCCCCCCTGCACCCCGCATCCCCCCGGGCGGGGACCCCCGAGCTCTCCCCGCACCCCGCTGCCCTCCCGGAGCCGGCGGGCGGCCCCCGGAGCGGCCCCACGGTCGTTGCCTCGCTGGGGACAAAGGTCTGGCCGCAGCTCGGACCCGGGGCCGAGGGGCCCCGTTCCCCCCCCGCCACTGCCCGACCTGCTCCGGGCACTGGGGCCGCGCTGGGGCTGGGGGGAACCCCCGGGACAGGCTGGGGGGCTGCTCCCATCGCCCCACGTCCCCTTGTCCCCTTTCCCGTGGAAGGGTCACCAGCTCTGGGGCAGCCCCTGGGTACAGGGGTCCTGTGGGGGCTGTCCCCTGCCCATGGGGGGGTCACTGCCACTGCAGTGCGGCCGGGGGGGCTCCCATGGGGGGCTCCCCTTATCCTACACCCCCACACCAGTGTCCCTGCTCTGCTGGGCAGCACGGCCAAACCCTCTGGATCCAGGGGGACAGACTGGAACTGGGGACAGAGCCAGCCCAGACCGGGCACAGGGCTCCCGGTGTGCACCGAGGAGCTCCCTGCAAGCCGGGCAGTGCAGGCAGCTGCCCGCAGGACTGGCAGTGAGGCCTCTGGATCCCACTTTGCTGGCCATTCCCGGCCATTCCTGGTGATTCCCAGCGATTCGCGGCCGTTCCTGGTGGTTCCTGGCCATTCCCGGTGGTTCCCAGTGGTTCCCAGTGGCTCCCGGCTGTTCCCGGTGACTCCTGGCCGTTCCCGGTGGTTCCTGGCCATTCCCGGTGGTTCCCAGTGGTTCCTGGTGGCTCCCGGCCGTTCCCGGTGGCTCCTGGCCATTCCCGGTGGTTCCCGGCCATTCCTGGCCATTCCCAGTGATTCCCGGCCATTCCCGGTGTTCCCGGTGGCTCCTGGCCATTCCCGGCCGTTCCCGGTGGCTCCTGGCCATTCCCGGTGGTTCCCGGTGGTTCCCAGTGGTTCCTGGTGGCTCCCAGCTGTTCCCGGTGACTCCTGGCCGTTCCCAGCCGTTCCCGATGGTTCCTGGCCATTCCCAGCCGTTCCCGGTGTTCCCGGTGGCTCCCGGCCGTTCCCGCCATTCCTGGTGGTTCCCGGCCATTCCTGGCCGTTCCCGGTGTTCCCGGTGGCTCCCGGCCGTTCCCGGCCATTCCCAGTGATTCCCGGCCATTCCCGGTGTTCCCGGTGGCTCCTGGCCATTCCCGGCCGTTCCCGGTGGTTCCTGGCCATTCCCGGTGTTCCCGGTGGTTCCCGGCCGTTCCCGGTGTTCCCGGTGTTCCCGGTGGCTCCCAGCCGTTCCCGGTGGATTCCCGGTGGTTCCCGGTGTTCCCGGTAGCTCCCGGCCGTTCCCGGTGATGCCCGCTGTCCCGCAGGGGGTACTCCCGGGACGTGGAGGGCAGCTGGTTCCGCTCCCTCTTCGTGCACAAGGTGGATCCCCGCAAGGACGCCCATTCCAACCTCCTGTCCAAGAAGGAGACCAGCAACCTGTACAAGATCCAGTGTGAGTGCTGGTGCCGGGGAGGGCAGCGCAGCTGGGCTGCTCCCCCTGCCCACCGCTGGCACCCCGCTCCCGGGTCCTTGCCCCCTTCCCAGCCCCTCTCTCCTGTCCCTGCAGTCCACAACGTGAAGCCGGAATGCCTGGAAGCCTACAACAAGCTGACGTGAGCACACTGAGGGGCCTTCCCGGCGTCCCAGCGGGGTGTTGGGGTGCTGCTCTGGACTGACAGGGCTGGGAGGGCTCCTGGAGCGATCTGTGTCCCAGTTCTGTGCCTCAGTTTCCCTCCCTGTGAAATGGATGCGTCCCCCGGGCTGTGCCAGGTCCTGTTTGGGAGGGCAAAGAGGGGCCCTGGGAGGGTTTTGGGGCGCTGCCCTCCCCTGTGTGCCCCCACAGAGAGGAGGTGCTGCCCAAGCTCCACTCGGACCCCGACTACCCCTGTGACCTGGTGGGCAACTGGAACACGTGGTACGGCGAGCAGGACCAGGCAGGTGAGGCCTCTGCTGCCGCGGGCACAGGCTCTGCTGGGGTTTTGGGGCGCTGCTCCCCTTGCCCACCCCAAAGCCCTCTTTGCAGTGCACCTGTGGCGCTTCTCGGGCGGGTACCCGGCGCTCATGGACTGCATGAACAAGCTCAGGCAGAACAAGGTACCCCGGGGCGAGCCCCCCGTGCCCCACGGCCCCGTGTCACCCCCCCTGACCCCCGGCCGGGCTGTGCCCCCAGGAGTACCTGGAGTTCCGCAAGGAGAGGAGCCGCATGCTGCTGTCCCGCAGGAACCAGCTGCTCCTGGAGTTCAGCTTCTGGAATGAGCCCCAGCCCCGCCAGGGACCCAACATCTACGAGCTCAGGACCTACAAGCTGAAGGTGGGCATCAGCCTCAGGGGGGCTTCAGGCTGGCGTACCCCGGTTTTGGGGGGCAGCTCCTGGGTGAGGAGACCCCAAGCTGGGTGGGCAGGGGGGTTCTGACTGGTTTTCCTGCCCTGTTTCCAGCCAGGCACCATGATCGAGTGGGGCAACAACTGGTAAGGCACCCCAAGGAGGGGTCCCGGGTGGGAAAAGCTCCCTGTGGAGAAGGGGGGACCCCTGGGGCAGCCCCCCACGTGTCCCCTGCCTCATGCAGGGCTCGGGCCATCAAGTACCGCCAGGAGAACCAGGAGGCAGTCGGGGGGTTCTTCTCCCAGATCGGGGAGCTCTACGTGGTGCACCACCTCTGGGGTAAGGGGGGTCCCCCCGGGGGTGCCCCGGCCTGGGGGCTGCGCTGGGGGGCTCAGGGTGCCCCCCATCCTCTCCCCACAGCCTACAGGGACCTGCAGTCCCGGGAGGAGACCAGGAATGCGGCCTGGAGGAAGCGGGGCTGGGATGAGAACGTTTATTACACCGGTGAGTGGGACCCCCCCGCTTTGGGGGGACCCCCTGGCCATGCTGGGGACCCCCTGGGCTCACCTCCGTGTGCTTTGCTCCCCCAGTGCCGCTGATCCGGACCATGGAATCCCGGATAATGATTCCCCTGAAGATCTCCCCCCTGCAGTGATTTGGGGCCGTGCCGGGGGGGCTCCCTGCACCCCCAGGGGCTCCCTGCCCTGGCTCTGCTGGGGGGTTCTGCTCCCCCTGGCTCCCAGCTCTGCCCCCACCCCATTTTGGGGTGCCCTGGGGGGGCTGAGAGCCGGGAGGGGAAGGTGGGAGCCCCCCATCCTGTGGTGCTGCTGGGGGGGCCGTGGAGGTGGGGGGGCTTAATTGCTCCTGATGAGCCCAGCGGGTGCCTTTGCTGCCAATTAAATATTTAATATGCTAAAGCCTGGGCCCCTCTCGGGGTGGGGAGGACGGGACTGGGGGGGCTTGGTGTGACCCCCCCCAGGCTGCTGTCACCCAGGGGCTGCCCTGCCCCACGTCGTGGGTGCTTCCTGCACTGAAGGACCTGCACCCATGGGTGCTGGGACACACTGAGGGACACCCCAAAACCCCAGTGCCACTGGGGACCCCTTGCCAAGCCCATGGACGCCCCCAAGTGCCATCAGGGACCCCATCCCATGCTCCCCTCAAGGTCGTGGATACACCCAGCACCACCACAGACCCATCCAATGCCCCCCCCCAAGCTCCTGGATCCCCAGCACCACTGGGCACCCCAAGGCGAGGCCCAGCCCAGCCCATGGGTACCCCCCAGGGCCACTGGGGGCCTCATCCCGAGCCCCTGAAACCCCCCATTGCTAAGGTGGACACCATCCCATGACCCTCCAAGCCTATGGGTGCTCCCAGTGCCACTGGGGACCCCTTCTCATGCCATTCTGAGCCCAGGGATCCCCCCAGTGCCATTGGGCACCCCATCCCCACCCCCTCCAAGCCCACAGATCCTACCACCACCACCACTGACTCCATCCCGTGCCCCTCCCAAGCCCCTGTGTGCCCCCCACCCCACTGGGGATCCCATCCCAGCCCCATGGGCACCCCCAGTGCCATCAGGGACCCCATCCCAGGCCCATGGGTACCCCCAGTGCCACTGGGGACCCCATCCCAGCCCCATGGACACCCCCAGTGCCACTGGGGACCCCATCCCAGCCCCATGGACACCCCCAGTGCCACTGGGGACCCCATCCCAGCCCCATGGACACCCCCAGTGCCATCAGGGACCCCATCCCAGCCCCATGGACACCCATTGGTGCTTCTGGGACCCCTATCCAAGCTCCCCCTTCCTGTGGGTGCCCTTCTGCACCAGGACCCCCCAGTGCCCCCCGAGCCCCCAGTGTGGGGGTCCAGCCAGGGCCACTGGGGGCCTCATCCCGGGCCCCTGAAACCCCCCATTGCTAAGGTGGACACCATCCCATGACCCTCCAAGCCTATGGATGCTTCTAGTGCCACTGGGGACCCCTTCTCGTGCCGTTCTGAGCCCAGGGATCCCCCCAGTGCCATTGGGCACCCCATCCCCACCCCCCCCAAGCCCACAGATCCTACCCCCACCACCACTGACTCCATCCCGTGCCCCGCCATCCCATGACCCTCCAAGCCTATGGGTGCTCCCAGTGCCACTGGGGACCCCTTCTCATGCCATTCTGAGCCCAGGGATCCCCCCAGTGCCATTGGGCACCCCATCCCCACCCCCTCCAAGCCCACAGATCCTACCACCACCACCACTGACTCCATCCCGTGCCCCTCCCAAGCCCCTGTGTGCCCCCCACCCCACTGGGGATCCCATCCCAGCCCCATGGGCACCCCCAGTGCCATCAGGGACCCCATCCCAGGCCCATGGGTACCCGGTCAAGCCACGCCCCTTTCCGCGGAGCCCCGCCCCCAGCCCCGTGCGGGTCCTCCAGGATGCCGGGTCCGCTAGGGGGCGCCTGTAGCAGCGGCAGCCGCTCCGCGCCGCGCTCTGTCGCCCCGTGACGTCACTTCCGGCGGCGCGGAGGCGAGGCGGCGGTGAGTGCCGGGGTGCGCCGGGCCCGCGGAGGGGATGGGGCACGGCCCCGGGACGGGACAGCCGCGGCCCGGTGTGCCGGGGGCTCAGCCGAAGTGCAGGCTCCTGGTCTGGAGGGGCGAAGGCGCCGTGCTGGGGGAGCTCTGACGCCTCGGGCCCGGTGTGCGGGGCTCGGGGGGGCCGAGAGCCCCCGGCGTGAGGGTCTGGGGCGGCTCTGGAGGAGTGAGGGGCTCTGCGCCCGGTGTGCGGGGCTCGGGGGAGGTGGAGGGTCCCGAGCTGGGGGGCTCGCGGGAGAGGACGCCCCGGGATGAGCTGGGGGCTCTGTGAGGGCTCGGGGGGCTCCGCTGAGGCAGAGCTGCAGTCCGGTGCTGCAGTCCGGGGGCTCAGGGCGGGGCTGAGCGCTCGGCCCGGGGTCCCAAGGGAGCCCAGGGGCACTGGGGGGGCTGTGGGGAGCAGACCCAGTCCCGAGGGGCTGTGGGGCTCAGGGCCGGTCCGGGGGCTGTGGCGGAGCAGACCCGGGCCCGCCGGGCTGGAAGGGCTGGGAGGCGCGGGATGGAGGGAGGCACAGGGGACACTGGCGGGGCAGGCGGGTTGGGCCCCCACGGACTCGGGCCGTGCTCCCTCGCAGCCCTGCCGGCAGCACCATGTCCTCCGAGTCCAGCAAGAAGAGGAAGCCCAAGGTGATCCGCACGGACGGGGTCCCAGCCGAGGGCAAGCGGGGCAAGGGCGACACGGAGCAGGTACAGACGTGCCCAGGGCCCTGCCCACACCCCTCTGTGCTGGCCCGGCGTTCCCTGCTGGAAAACAATGCCCACAGCAGCTGTGGCTGCCCCATCCTGGCAGTGTCCCAGGCCAGGGTGGACACTGGGGCTTGGAGAGAGCTGGGACAGTGGAAGATGTCCCTGCCTATGGGACTGGATGGGCTTTAAAGCCCTCCCTTCCCACCCAAACCATTCTGGAATTCCATGAATTGTGAGACCTGGCAGTGTCCCAGGCCAGGGTGGACACTGGGGCTTGGAGAGAGCTGGGACAGTGGACGTGTCCCTGCCTATGGGACTGGATGGGCTTTAAAGCCCTCCCTTCCCACCCAAACCATTCTGGAATTCCATGAATTGTGAGATCCACTTCCCCCAGCTTCCAATGCCTCTTATACTCCCACTGTGAATTCCTAAACCTGCTTCCATCTCTTTCAGGAGACACAAACACTCCTCTGGAGAGTGAGCCCAAAGCTGGAAGATCCCTCTGGGATTTGCATGGTGCCTTCAAACCCTCCCGTGAGCAGCAGGATAGTGTAGGATCAGCCAGAGTGGGGAGTGGGGTGGACAAGGAGGAGGAATCACCTTTCTGGATTGTCCTCTGTGGTCGTGTAGATCATGGAATATCCTGAGTTGGAAGGGATCCACGAGGATCCTCCAGTCCAGCTCCTGGCCCTGCACAGGACAGCCCAACGGTGCCAATTAAAATTTATAACAATTAAAGACAGCCTGAACTCGCCAGGTGTTTTAGTGGCTGGTGGGTTTGGGATTGCTGGAACAGTCTTGTGTAAAGCCATGGGACTGATGGGCAGAGGCAGAAATGGCAGCTTGTCCCCCAGAGGCCTTTCCAGAGGGAGGGATGAGCCACGGGAGGTGTTCTTGCCTTGGCAGGATGTCAGGTACTACAGCGAGGAGAGCGAGGTGGATCTGCGGGACCCCATCAAGGACTACGAGCTCTACAGGGAGACCTGCCAGGAACTCCAGAGGCTCATGGCAGAGATCCAGGAGCTGAAGAGCCGGGGCATCAAGGAAAATGTGAGGAGAGCCTCCCCCTGTGGTGTAACACGTCTGTCATTTGGTGTTTCCCCATTAATCCCAGGGGAACGGCAGCAGGAGCTGTGATGTCAGGGAAATGGAGCAGCCTCCCTTTGCCAGGCTGCTGGGGCAGGGATTGAGCTCTGGGAATGGAGCAGCCTCCCTTTGCCAGGCTGCTGGGGCAGGGATTGAGCTCTGGAAAATGAATATTCTCCCTTTGCCAGGCTGCTGGGGCAGGGATTGAGCTTTGGGAATGGAGCAGCCTCCCTTTGCCAGGCTGCTGGGGCAGGGATTGAGCTCTGGAAATAGAACAGCCTCCCTTGTCCCAGGCTCCTGGGACACACCAGGTGCTCCAGGCTGAACCACCTCTGTTCCTACTGCTGAGGAGAATGGCTGGAGTGATTCTGTGAGGAGCCTGGACCCTCTCCCAGTTATTCCCAGCAGAGCCCTGTGGTCTGGCAGCAGGAGGCTCCCTCAGAAGCCCCAGGGACATGAATGTGGCTCCACAGCAAAGCGTGGAGCCCCTTTTGTGGCAGGAATTGCCTGCAGAGGTGGTGCCAGCCATCCCTCCTGCTCCCACCCCCCTGTGCTGCCCCTCAGGCCGTGGAGATTGACGAGCGGCGCGTGCAGAGCTGTGTCCACTTCATGACCCTGAAGAAGCTGAACCGCCTGGCCCACATCCGCCTGAAGAAGGGCAGGGACCAGACCCACGAGGTACCCAGCAGGGCTGGCAGGGAGGGAGGAGTGCAGCTTGGGTTTAGGGGGGGCACAGATGGGGCAGGTCCTGCCTGGTCTGTGTGCGTGGTGTGAGGAGTTACGCCTCAGCCAGGTCCTGTGGTTTGAGTTGAGGGTTTGTTGGGAGGTTCTGTCTTGGTTTGAACACACAGGTGTCTGCTAAGGAAGGCAGGAGCTTCCCTTGAAGTGGAAAATGCAAACCCCCTCTGTCCAAATTGTTATAATTTTGAATTTAAGAGGCTCTCAGGCAAAGGTAGGGAAGTAGGAATAACAGCTCTTTACTAGGAAAATTAAAAATACAAATGCAATAGTACAAATTAAAAAAACCCAAAAACATCACTGCCAGAGTGAGAATAGGAGCTGTCCCCCTGTGGGTCAGGGTGGTGGCACAGTCCCATCCCATGGGGGCTCAGCCCTCCTGCAGTGCCAGCTGTGCTTCTGCTGGAGCAGGGATCCTGCACAAGGGGGGAGTTTTCCTCTGCAGCTCCAGGGCTGCTGGAGATGGGCCTGCTCTTCCTCTGGGAATGCAGGGCAGGAGAAAGCTGCTCCTCTGGGAATGCAGTGGGCAAAGGCTGCTGTGCTGTTCCAGGCTCAGATTGGATCCAGGTAGGAATGCTTGGCTCCTGCCCTGGGCGGAGCATCTCCCCATGGGATGCTGGAATTTGATCAGCCCTGCAGGGACACTCAGTGGCCATGGACAGCAGAGATCTCCTGGAGGGAGGATTGGCTGTGGGAGAGATAAAGAAAACTGCCCCATGAACAGCAGAGAACTGCCCAGCTCTGACAGATGGCAATGGAACACACACCCCAGCTACACCTTCCAACCTAAGACAGGCTCAGATCCTGATAAACTCCTGGCTGCAGGGCAGCTGTGCTTAGATCAATAATGAAGGAACAGTATTGCTTTTGCCTCAAGTGTAGTAGGAGGTCACAAACTCTGTTTCAAGGGTCTGGTGTTGTGCAGGTGCATCAGTGAGTGTGTGATCAGCCTGGAAGCTGCATAACCAGAGTTCTCAGAGGGGGGACTCTGTGTGCCCCAGTAAGTGAGCCCTGTCCTGTGCCTTGGCTTTAAATTGTGCAGGAAGGAGCAGGATCAGTCTCCTGTTATAATCCTTTGCTCCTCCAGCCCTTAAAAATGTCATTCTTCCCCCTAAAAATTGTTGCATACCCTAAAACCTGCTGTCCCAAGCTGCTGTAGTGACCGGTCTTGGTGACTCTCTCTTTGTGACTGTTTTTCCTGCTCCATCCCTGCTCTGGCTGTGTCTGTGTTTCAGGCAAAGCAGAAGGTCGATGCCTATCACCTGCAGCTGCAGAACCTGCTCTACGAGGTGATGCACCTGCAGAAGGAGATCACCAAGTGCCTGGAATTCAAGTGAGCGTGGCAGGGAGCAGAGGGAGCGTTGCTGTGTCTGGGATGGGTGGGTGATTCCTGAGTTTGGGAGCTCTTCCCACGTTCACTGTGGGAGCAGAGCGGGTGCTCCAGGTGTTTGTAATAATGGAATAGTTTGAGGTAGAAGGGACCTTAAAGCCCATCCAGTGCCACTCCTGCCATGGGCAGGGACACCTTCCACTACCCCAGGCTTCTCCAAGCCTCAGTGTCCAGCCTGGCCTTGGGCACTGCCAGGGATCCAGGGGCAGCCACAGCTGCTCTGGGCACCCTGTGCCAGGGCCTGCCCACCCTCCCAGGGAACAATTCCTAATTCCCAATATCCCATCCAGCCCTGCCCTCTGGCAGTGGGAAGCCATTCCCTGTGTCCTGTCCCTCCATCCCTTGTCCCCAATCCCTCTCCAGCTCTCCTGGAGCCCCTTTAGGCACAGACAGTAGAGATCAAAACAAATTCAGCTCTCTGATGGTGGTGGCTCAGTAGCAGAGCAGGAAGCACCAGTGGGACACTCTCCTGTGGGGACACATTGAGCACTTCCCACTTTTCCCTGGTCTGACCCGTGTGTCCTGGCAGATCCAAACACGAGGAGATCGAGCTGGTGAGCCTGGAGGAGTTCTACAAAGAGGCCCCCCCTGAAATCAGCCGCCCTGCCATCACCCTGAGCGAGCCCCACCAGCAGACCCTGGCCCGCCTGGACTGGGAGCTGGAGCAGCGCAAGAGGTGGGTCAGTGGTGCTCCCATTCCGTGCCCTGCTCCAGGGATCTGGGCAGGCACCTGGAGCTCAGGGTGTCCCCACTCCGTGTCCCAGCTCCAGGGATCTGGGCAGGCACCTGGAGCTCAGGGTGTCCCCACTCCGTGTCCCAGCTCCAGGGATCTGGGCAGACACCCAGAGCTGCTGGGAGAGCAGATGTAGGGATGAGGTTTTTCACACCCTCTTGGATCAGTGTGGAACAGGCGTTTATTGTGTGGCTGGGAGACCCCTCTGTGCAGAGCTGGGCTTGCTGGGATCCTTGTTCCATAGGCCAGGGAGTTCTCTGACACTGCCTGGTGATCCAAGGGCAAAGGGAGCCCATCCTGGCTGGAGCTGCTGCCATTCCATGCCATGGTGTGGAGCTGCCAACCACGCCAGGCTGGCACAGCCCCGTGTCCTGCTGCTGGCGTCACCGCTGTCCCGGTGCTCAGCTGCTCCCTGACTCTTGCCCCCTGGGGAAAGCAAACATGACACAGCATTCCTGTGTTTGGATAACAGTCAGGCAGTGTCCAGGAGCACCTTCTGGAAAGATCAGTTGGAATGTGCTGCTGGGTGCAGCCTGAGGGCAGCTGAGCAGAGCAGACAACAAAAGGTGCTGGGTGCCTCCAGCCCTTCATGCTTCCCTTTTCCCAGACTTTTCCTCTAAAACCTGGCTGCTTTTGCCTGGTAGAAGGCACAGCCAGGATCCTCCAGCTGTCTCTGCCTGTGGCACAGGCAGAGAAGTGTTCAGCCTGCAGATTTCTGAAGTTGTGCATAAAAATGATCATTGCAAACCTCACAGAGACCCTGAGCTGCTCATTAAATTGCTGAGAGGCCTTGGAATTCCCAGTCCTCACTCTGTGGTATCTAAGGAATGCCCCTGTCCATCTCCCACCCCTGCTCAGGTGGGATATGCCTGTTCAGTTGCTCACAAGCAGATGCCAGTGGTGCTTTGGGCATTTGCTGTTGTTGTTGGGGTTGTTGACATCCATCCATAATTTATGTTGGTGTTTTTAGCTGTGCAACTCCATTGAATTTGCTTGGTGTTCTTCTCCACCTGGTGTGAGGTGCCTCTGGAGTGGAGTGCAGGGATTTCAGTAGCTCTGTGTTGGGAAGGTGTGTGAACACTGGAGCTTGTGTAGGAACCTCTTGGGATGTGCACTGACCCCCACAAATACAGTTTTTCTTGGAAACGGAATCCAAGTTCTGCAAGGTCAGGTCTGTTCCCCCTTGGAGAACCCTTGTCCTGGGCAGGTCACCTCCATACCCAGTTCCCTGCTCCTGCTGGGAAAGGGCTTGCAGTCAGCAGCAATGAGGGAATTTGGTGTGTTCTTCCTGCACACGAGTGTATCCAGGGCTCAGAGCATCCAGGGCTTGCATTTTCTCTGTTGAACCTTGACTGTGTGACAAGAAGTGGCTCTGGGGATGTGAAGGGACAAAGCCTCTTAGGGAGCTCAGAGGAGTCGTGGCTGCTGGCAGCAGAGCCTGGGGTGGGAGCAGATCTCCTGAGGGAAGATCCAGCTGCTGCCCCTTTGTGGAGCACAGCATGAGGCTGAGCTTCCCCTTTTCCGTGTCTGTTTTCCATCTCCAATCAGTTCCTTCCTGCCTCCACTTGTCCTTGGTGTTAGGAGCTCTGTGTTAGCTCCATGTCTGAGCTCTCCTGGTTCCTTATGTCAGGGCAGGAATGCTGGGGCTCATTATCCAGCAGGTTTAGAGCTGTGGTGTGTGGCAGTGACAAAATTCCCACCTCTAGGCTGGCAGAGAAATACAAGGAGTGCCTGACCAGCAAGGAAAAGATCCTGAAGGAGATCGAGGTGAAGAAGGAATATCTGAGCAGCCTCCAGCCTCGACTCAACAGCATCATGCAGGTACCTGAGCCCTCAGGAGGTCACTCCGAGGGGCAGCTCCTGGGCTGGTTTCGGTTTGGGGATGTTTCATTCCCACTCAGGGTGGGCAAGGGGCAGATCCAAGACCCCTCGAGAGTCTCCTTTTTTATTTATGCAGCAATTCCTGCAGAACTGCAGCTGCAGAAGCTGCTAAATGGGCCTTTCCCTGGAGAGCCCCACACAGTTCCAGCCCCCTGTGACTGCCTCGGGAGGGAAGAACAGGAGGAGGAACTGGGTTATTTCCAGATCCAAAACTTTCCCAGCAGAGGCAGCTGCCAGCCCTTTCCTTAGGCTCTCCATGTTTAATCCTGCACCACTGCTGCTGTGCCAGCTTCATCTCCCGCTCTCTCAGGGCAAGGAGGATGAGCTGTTCCTCTCCCAGTGATGAAGGCTCTCCCTGTCATTCCAGGCCTCCCTGCCTGTGCAGGAGTACCTGTTCATGCCCTTCGACCAGGCTCACAAGCAGTACGAGACCGCCCGGCACCTCCCGCCGCCTCTCTACGTCCTCTTCGTCCAAGCCAGTGCCTACGGACAGGCCTGTGGTGAGCACTGGGGGCACAGTGCCCCCACGGGCCAGGCTGCACTCCTGTCTGCAGCAATCACCACTTTCTGGGGGTCTTTCCCCTCTGTGTGCTCTGCTGTCAGATTCTGCTGGGCGCAGAGCAGCGGGGTGGCCCCGCGGCACGGTGAGGCAGCAGCATTTGAAACCTTGTTTGCTCAGCTGCCTCGCTGGAAGAAGTGCTTGGGAAGCTCCCTTCCCACCCCTTCCCCCCTTCCCAAGGTCAGCAGGGATGTCCTTGCAGACTGAGAGCTGGCTCAGTGCTGTCACAGCTTCCCCAGAGCTGTCACCCCCTGCCTTGTGCCACCTAGGGACCCAGACCTTGTAGAGGCCATTCCCACAGCTCACCTGGAAACCTTCATCCCTTTGTATTTTGAGGGGATTTCTGGAGCCTCCCTGAGCTGGGAGGGATTTCCTGGAAGAGGTCAGGAATCCCACTGGCCTGTGTACACCTCCTGTGTGGTGAGGGCTCTGGTGTGACCTGTTCCTCTCAGTGCCAGAGGAGTATGGAAGGACATGGTGATGCTTGGCTACACCAGGTCCCTGCTTGTCCCAGCCAGATCCCACCCTCTCCTTAATAAATATTTGGCCCTTATGGTGTCCAGGGAGAGTCCCTCAAAACCCAGTGTTTTCCATTCTCTGACCCCACCCTGCCCAGGAGATCCAGCCCAGTGGTGACCTCCCAGAACCTTCCAGACAACCTCTCCTCCCACTGGCCTTTTGCTGGAGCTTCCTTCACCAGGAACCAGGAGCTTTAGGGGCAGGGCTGCTCTGCTCACTGCCTTTGCAGCAGGAATGGGATTGCTAACTCAGTTTTCCTGCCTCCTCTGTAGATAAGAAGCTGGTGGTGGCCATTGAAGGGAGTGTGGAGGAAGCCAAGGCCCTTTATAAACCACCCGAGGACTCACAGGGTGAGTTGGGGTGTTGCCCTGGGGACTTGTTCCTGTGTGTCTGCAGCTCCTGGGACCCTGCTTCTGTTGGGAGAGGGGTGTCAGGGCTTGGAAAAAGCCCTGCTGGTGGTGGGAGAGCTGAGCTCTGGGTGGTCCCTGCTGACAGCCCTCTCTCTGCACAGATGATGAGAGCGATTCCGACGCAGAGGAGGAGCAAACCACGGTAAGGGACAGCGCTGTCCCCCTCTGGGGAGAGCTGGGGCTGGCTGGGGCTGGGAGCTGCCCCTGCAAGCTGTGAGGGTGTGTGGAAGTGCAGTGATGTCAAATCCTGACCTTTCCTGGGAGGAGGGAGCTGCCATTTCCAGTGGGTGTCCCAAATGCAGGAGCAGGCAGGGTACAGAGCTGCTCCTCTCGTGTCCCATCCCTGCAGCTCTCCGGCTGGAGCTGCTCCACTTTGTAAAAATAGCCTGAGGGCAGGGAGCTGTGTCCAACAGGGAGGGAGCTGTGTCCATCCTGTGCCAAAAGCATTCTCTGCACCACGGCTTGTTCAGCACTCCTTGGAGGAAGTGTTTGTCCTACAGATAATTCCTGCTGGATGCTGAGGAGAGGCTGGAGGTGCTGGCTGCTCCCAGCAGCAAAGCCTGAAGGGGCTCTGGGCCTCCACTCCCACCACCAGCAGGAGAGCCAGGTGTATGGGGCTGTTCTGTGGGGAAGGGTCTCGTGTCCAGAGAAGGGAATGGAGCTGGAAAGGGGCTCAGCCTGGAGAAAAGGAGGCTCAGGGGGGCCCTTGTGGCTCTGCACAACTCCTGACAGGAGGGGACAGCCGGGGGGTGTCAGGCTCTGCTCCAGGGAACAAGAGTTTGCCAGAGGAGGATATTGGGAAAATTCCTTCACAGAAAGGGCTGTCCAGCCCTGGCACAGCTGCCCTGGGTAATGGGGGAGTCCCCATCCCTGGAGGGATTGAAGAGCCATGTGGTTGTGGCATGTGGGGACATGGGTTAATGGTGGCCTTGATGCTCTCAGAGGGCTTTTCCAGCCTAAAGGATTCAGTGATTCTAGGTTCTGCCTCTTGCAGTGGGAAAGCTTTTGGGCCAGCAGGTCCTTGACTTTGTCTCCCAGGAATGGAGACATTCCCTGGAGCTGAAGGAATGGCAGGAACTGGAGCTGAGTGAGGGTTTCCTGCTCCTCTCCCTCCCCAGGGCAGCTGTGGCTGTGGTGCTGGGAGATTGTGGAACTGGACTGGGGGGAAAGAGCTGCGGGCTGGGAAGGTCCATGGCTTGGTGAGGAGCAGGAGAAGGCTCTCACAGCTGTTTTGCCCCCCCAGAAGCGGCGCAGGCCCACCCTGGGTGTGCAGCTGGACGACAAACGCAAGGAGATGCTGAAGAGACACCCCTTGTCTGTCACCCTGGACCTGAAGTGCAAAGGTGAGGGGCTCAGGGGTGGGACAGCAGCTCAGCAGCAGTCAGTGGGGACTCACCCCAGCAGCACCTTGGGGGCCTTGGGGGGAGCTGGAAGTGTGGAGGGGTTTCTCTGAGCTGGAGCAGGCACCAATGTCACCCCTTCTGTGTGGGCAGATGAGAACGTGCTTCACCTGACCTTCCACTACCTGATGAACCTCAATGTCATGACAGTGAAAGCCAAGGTGACCACTGCCATGGAAATGACCACGGCCATCAGTGCGGGGTAAGGAGAACCCTGTGGGCAGCAAGTCTGGAGATCATTGGGCAGTGACTCCATGGGATTTGGGAGTCCTGCAGAGCCTCATTGGGCAGTGACCCCTCTGCCCTGTGGGGTTTGGGAACCCTTCACAGCCCAGAGCTCATCAGGCAGGGACCCCTTTGCCCCTGTGGGTCTGGGGGCCCTGCACAGCCCAAGCACCTTCCTCCTCCTCTCCTCTGCCAAGACAAGCCAGACTCAGGGAGTTTGGGAACCTCTCAGCAGTGCCAGAGCTGTCAGGATCTGGGGGAAAATCTTTCCTGCTGACACATTCAGCCTCCCTCCCACAGGCAGAGCCTGGCAGCTCCCTCACCTGACTGCTCCTGAGGTCACCTTGTCCTGAACTCCAGAGATGCAGCTGCCTCTGCCTGTGCTCCCCAGAGCCTGCAGGAGCCTGATTGGTGTGAGGAAAAGCTGAAGTGGCAGCTTTGGGAGCCTGCCCAGGGAGCTCCCAGCAGCTGCCAGCTCTCTGGTGGCTCTCCCTGACGCAGGAGGTGCCTGAGGAAGAGGGAGGTGGGAGAAGCTGGTCTGGACTTGCCTGGGAGCAAGTGCTGCCTCCCAGCCTGTCCCATATGCAACCTCCTCATCCTTTTGGGGTTCACTTCTTGCTGCAGACACCCCAAACCCTCTGTGGCAGCAGCTGGAGATCCTGTGCAGGGCGTTCCCTCCCTCCTGCTGCCCTTGGCTGTGTTACCCCAAACCAGGGAGGCTGTGCCTTGAGCCAGCCCCCAGATCCTACAGCCCATTGTGGCTGGTCATTCCTGCGAGTACAGTCAGACATGAGGAGTTTCATGGCACTAGAGGGAGCAGCTTCGTGGAAGAGCAGGAGCTGGTGCCCTGTGATTTCCATCCTGCTCCTGGCAGGAGGAGACAGCTCTCTCTTTGACTTTCCCCAAATTCCACTCCATTCTGCTCTTGAACTCGCGCAGCTCATAATCCCCTTCTCTGGACTTGAAGCCTGTTCATGGAGGGATGAAGAGCCCAGACTGCTGCTGATTGACCTCTCCCCTCTTTCTGCCAGGGATCTGCTCTCCCCAGACTCCCTCCTCAACTGCCTCTATCCAGGGGACCACGGGAGGAAAACGCCCAACCCAGCCAACCAGTTCCAGTTTGATAAAGTGGGGTGAGTGCCACCCAGGCCATTGCCATTAGTTCCTTGCTCCAGCACAGCAAATCCTCCCTGCTTGATGTGACCCTTCTTCCTTGTCCCCACAGCATCCTGACCCTGAGTGACTACGTGACAGAGCTGGGACACCCCTACGTGTGGGTGCAGAAGCTGGGTGGCCTGCATTTCCCCAAGGATCAGCCTCAGGCATGGCACAAACCCCTTCCCTCTCCCCCACAACATTGGGCTGAGCTGTCACAGCCCTGTCCTGTCCCCTGCTGGCACCAGCTGCCCCCAAGCCATGGCTGGGCCAGGCTTTGCTGGGCTGGATCTGTGTGTGGGGCCACACTGACATATTTCATGTCATTCACATGATAGTCCAAGCCCTTTGAGTGACTGAATGATGGGTGCCTGTCCCTGTGGGGATGTGGCTCCTGGCCTGACATCCCTCCTGCCCACAGCACACGGTGGCTGCTGACAATTCCCTGAGTGCCAGCCACATGGAGCTGACAGTGAAGCTGCTCCGGAGCCGCCTGCAGTCCCGCCTGGCCCTGCACAAGCAGTTTGCATCCCTGGGTGAGTGCTGGGCTCCCCACCCTTCCCTGGGGACAGGGGTGCAGTGGCAGGGTCCTGCCAGGCTCCCCACCCTTCCCTGGGGACAGGGGTGCAGTGGCAGAGTCCTCATGCAGGGAAGAATCTCTTCCCTGCTCAGCCAAGCTCCAGGTAGCCATGGTCCTGAATCCCAGTTATTCCAAGCTGCTGCCCATCTTCAGCCAGTGCCTGAACTGGGAGGGAGAGTGGAACAGAAGCAATCACAGGAGAGGAGACATCAGCTGGCTGATGTCACATTTGGTGGGTGGCAGTGCCACCCTCAGCATTCTCAGTTGTTCCCTCAGCCCTTGGGAGTTGTAGGAATGAAGGAACTGCCCTATTTTGGGTGGCAGAGGAAGGCTCTGCCCTTTCCAGTGCCCAGCACCTCTTTGGGAATGGCCATCCCAGTGCTGGGAGGTGATTTGGGACATGGTGGGAAGTGAACTGCACACCATGCATGTTGTGTGCCAGTCAAGAAGCCCAGGGATCCTGTGGGATCAGAGCCCAGGGATCCCATGGGGCTGCAGCCCAAGGGTCCCGTGGGATCACAAGCCAGGGATCCCGTGGGATCACAAGCCAGGGATCCAGTGGGATCAGAGCCCAGGGATCCCGTGGGATCACAGCCCAGCGGTCTCTCTGCTGGGTACCTGATGGAGCTGCTGAAGGATGGCATGATGCCCAGGTCCCACTGTGGGAGTGTCCCCGCTGCAGACAGTGGCAGAGCAGTGTCCCCAGCCCTGCTCAGGGCCTGTCCCTGCTTTCAGAGCACGGAGTTGTGCCAGTGTCCAGCGAGTGCCAGCAGCTCTTCCCCACCAAAATCGTCTCACGCCTGGTGAAGTGGACTGCCATTCCCTATGAGGATTATGCTGTAAGTGCTGAGCACGGGGCTGAATCCCTCCCTCCCAGCTCCCACATGGCACTGGAGCCATCATTCCTCCTCCCCCTCTCAGGAGCTGCCCTACACTAAGGATGTGATAGAGGCTGGCTTGGCTGAAGACACTCACCTCTACTACATGGCCCTGATAGAGAGGGGAACAGGTAGGCACCTTTCCTTCCTTTGGGAATTCCAATCCTCATCCCAGGCAGCTTCATGGGTAATCCAGCTGCCTGGAGGCCCTGTGAGTGACACCTTTTCCCTGCTCAGCCAAGCTGCAGGCAGCTGTGGTGCTGAACCCTGGTTATTCCACGCTGCCTCCTGTCTTCAGCCTGTGCCTGAACTGGAAGGGAGAGCGGAACAGCAGCAACGACGACAACATTCGGGTACTGTGGGGTGGGGGCTGCGTTTTTGGGGGTGTCCCCAGCAGTTCTGTGTCTCTAACAAGGGAATGTTGGGGTGAGCTGGTGGCTGGATGCCCCTGGGAGGGCAGGGTAGAGATCCAAGCCTGTGCCAACTTCATCCCTGTTTTCCAGGCCATGGAGAGCGAGGTCAATGTCTACTACAAGGAGCTGTGGGGGCCCAAGCCTGGCTACCAGCTGCTCACCAACCAGCTGCAGCGCCTGTGCATGGTGCTGGACGTGTACCTGGAGACAGAGCCCCACGATCCCAGCGTGGAGGGGCCCAAGGAGTTCCCCCAGGAGAAGATGTGTCTGCGCCTGGTCAGGTGGGAGCTGCCTGGGGGCTGAGGGTGCTGCCAGGGACTCTGGTGGTGTTGCTGTTCCTGGGAGCCTGTCCTAGAGGGATTAGCCCCCACAGCTGGGCAGTAGCCCTGGAACTGGGCCTTTTCTGCGGGTGCCATGGGATGTTCCTGATCCCTGTGGTCACAGCCTCTCCCTCTTCTCTTCCAGGGGCCCCCTGCGCCTGAAACCCTTCAAGTTCAACTACCCCCAGGGGTTCTTCAGCCATCGCTGAGCAGCCCTGGGCCTCATCCTGGGGTGGGACTTGTTCACTCTGTGGCAGGAGTGTTCCTATCCTGACATTTCTGCTTCTTTTACAATATTTTGGGGTTGGTTTGAAGGTTTTGTAGTCAAAGGGATTAAACTGAGCTAAAGAAAAAACGTGTTGGTGCCTTGTCTATGCAGAGGGGCTGAGATGAGGGACCTGTGAGGGCTGCAGCAAGTCTTGTGTCCCAGCCCCGGGCTCTGACAGCCTTTCCAGGGATGCTCCCTGCCTCCTGACTTCCCTCCCCACCACAGGGACTGGGGAGCTGAGATGGCTAAAAACTGAGGTGGCTAAAAATAGCCCTCACTTTTCCAGAGCCCGCAGTGCAGCCCCAGCCTGTCCTTGCCGGCTGGCTGCCATCCCACTCAGCACAATCCCTGCATCCTGGGGGCTCCTCTGCTCCCTGGCCTTGCAGGGGAGCAGAGCAGGGTCCTGGACAGGCAGGAGGAGGGGTGTGGGACATCCTGGCTTGTCCTGCTTAGCCTCACGGGGTTGGGATGTGCCCCCTCCCCTGCACCGCTCTGTGTGGGGGTCCCAGACTGGCAGAGCTGGGGCTCCATCCCCCCTCCCGAGGTCACTGTCCCTCCTTCATCCCAGCCTCTCCATGTCTCCCCTGGGAGTGATTTCTCCCCCAGCAGGGCTGAGAGCCCCTCTCCTGCTCCCCCCAGCCCCTGCCCTGGGTGCAGTGCTGCAGTGCCGGGCTGTGCCGCAGCCCTTGGGTTAAACCAGGCTCTCCCAGTCCCTTGGGAGCCACACTTTAAAAAAAGAAGGAAGGGAAAAAACACACTGAGATCCTTTGGAGAGCATGGCAGGGCTGGCCTGTTTCCATCCTCAGGACACAGGGTCCTTGTGCCTGCTGTGGGGTGTGTTTCCCTTCTGGAAAGCCCCGTGTCACCCACCCCAGCCCTGGGTGACAGATCCCAGCCCCACCTTCCCACCTTCCTTCTCTGTCTTCTCCCCAGGACAAGCCAGCAGAGCCAGGGTGTCTCTGTAAGCACTTTTATTTGGTTATTGCACAGAAAGCAAAGATCAGTGGGCTGAGGTTCCTGGTGCACCGTGTGTGTCTGTGAGCATTCCAGCAGCTCCCAGCCTCTCCCACCTCTGCCCAGAGGGACTGTCACCCCCCAGGGCAGGGCAGGACCCCGCCAGCCCCCCCAAGCAGCTACAGCTCTGCATTGCACTCATCCATCCATTGCACATACATTAAATAAATGCACTTAGAGGAGAAGGGTGGTGGGGTTCCCCTGGGGGCCCCCCCTCTTCTCCTGGGTTATAATTCAAGTGTTAAATGTGGCGCTCGGCGAATATCACGTTCTGCGAGGGAAGCAATCGCCCACCCACGGGGCTCTCACGGGCCTATTGCTAAGGGAAAGCCTGGCCTGGGGGGCCCTGGGGGGCCCTGGGGGGCCTGGGGGCTCCACCCTGGGCCCAGCCGTCGGAGGGAGTGGAGCAGCTCCCGTGCCCGGAGGTGCCTTCGGCTCCCGGGACTCTTCCATCACTTCTTCCCCGGCTCTGGGGCTGAGCCCTCCTTGCTGGAGGGAGCCTCGCCTTTGGGGGGTTCCTTACTGGCTTTGGGCTCATCTTTGGGTTTTGCTTTAGCTTTGGGTTCCTCCACTTTCTTGGGTTCCTCTGCCTTCTCCTTCTTGGGTTCCTCCACCTTCTTAGGCTCCTCTGCCTTCTCCTTCTTGGGTTCCTCTGCCTTCTTGGGCTCCTCTGTCTTTTCTTTCTTGGGCTCCTCTGCCTTCTTGGGCTCCTCCGCCTTTTCCTTCTTGGGTTCTTCTACTTTCTTCTTGGGCTCCTCAGCCTTTGGCTTTTCAGCCTCCTTGGCAGCCGCCTTGCTGACCTCCTGCTGAGGTTTTGCTGGAGCTTCTTCGGCAGGTTTGGGGCTTGGCTTGGTCTCTTTGGCCTGTGGAGCTGGAGGCTCTGGCACAGCAGCCGCCTTCTCCTTGGGTTTCTCCTCTGCCTTGGCTGGGACATCCTTCTTGGGAGCTTCCTCCTTCTTACCCTCCTCAGGCTTGGAGGGAGCCTTCACCTCCTTGGGCTGCTCCTCCTTGGCCGGGGCCTTCGGAGCAGGGCTTGGCTCCTTGGCTGGGGCTGCTTCCTTCTGCGGAGACTTGGCCTCCTCCTTCACGGGAGATTTGGCTTTCTCTGGGGACTTCACAGCCGGGGGCTTGGCCTCCTCCTTAGAGGGGCTTGGGGGCTTCTCTGGGGACTTCACAGCTGGGGGCTTGGCCTCCTCCTTAGAGGGGCTTGGGGGCTTCTCTGGGGATTTGACAGATGGAGGTTTGGCTTCCTCCTTCGAGGGAGTTGCAGGTGGCTCTGGGGATTTCACAGCTGGGGGCTTGGCCTCCTCTTTAGAAGGGGCTGGGGGTTTCTCTGGGGACTTGACAGTTGGGGTCTTGGCCTCCTCTTTTGAGGGAGGTGTCGGTTTCTCTGGGGATTTCACTGTTGGGGTCTTGGCCTCCTCTTTTGAGGGAGGTGTCGGTTTCTCTGGCGATTTCACTGCGGGGGTCTTGGCCTCCTCCTTAGAGGGTGTTGGTGGCTTTTCAGGGGATTTGACAGCTGGAGTCTTGGCTTCCTCCTTTGAGGGGGTTGGGGGTTTCTCTGGGGACTTCACAGCTGGGCTCTTGGCCTCCTCCTTTGAGGGGGTTGCAGGTTTTTCTGGGGATTTCACAGCTGGGCTCTTGGCCTCTTCCTTTGCAGGGGACTCAGGTTTCTCTGGGGACTTGGCCTCCTCCTTTGCAGGAGACTTGGCCTTTTCTTCAGCCTCTTCTTCAGCCTTCTCCTCTTCTTCTTCCTCCCCCTCTTCCTCCCCCTCTTCTGCTTTTTCCTCTTCAGCCTCTTTCTCAGCCTCCTCCTCCTCTGTGACCTCCTCGGTCACCTGGATTTCCTCTGTCTGCTCCTCCACAATCACTGTCTCCTTCTCTGATTTTTCCACCACCTTGATCTTCTCCTCGCTCTTCACCTTGATGCTGGTGGTGATGCTGGGAGGCTTGGGGACCACCTCGGGGTAGGAGAGCATCCCAATGCCAGTCTCCAGCCGATACTCCTCCCCTTCCAGGAGCTTTCTGCCAGGGAGAGACCAGGGCAGGGCCCTCAGTGAAGGCTTCTCCTCTCATCCCGTGCCCAGGAGCTGCCAGCAATGTCCTGCAGCTCCATCTCCCTCCCTGCCCCATCCTGGATGATCCTCCTGCTCCTGTGGCCTGGGATGAGCAGGTTTCCTTGCCCTTCCCTCCACACACCAATGGACATTGCCCACCATGGATGGATGATTTGCTCACCAAAAAGAGCCCAGGTGTCAACAAGGGACCTTGAGCAGACCTGGCTGAGACCCCCCCAGGCCTTCCCCTGTCCTCCCTGTACCTGTAGGCAGCAATTTCGATGTCCAGGGCCATTTTGACGTTGAGCAGATCCTGGTACTCGCGGAGCTGAGCTGCCATCTCCCACTTGGTGTTCCTCAGCTCGTTGTCAAGCTGCTGGATGGTTTCCTGTGGGCAGACGCAACAATAAGGGGTGGGGGGCATATGGCACAGTCCCCAGGAGCAGAGGGACACAAGGGCACTCCTAAACTGTCCCCTGGCCTCCAACACCAGGGTGTCCTCATGGAGGAGTCTGCAGCCACCTCCTCCTGCAGACACGCAGGGAAGGGGACACAGCCAGGGGTGCTCCCAGGATGCCCAGTTGCCTTGAGGAACCTGGCAGGAGCCCTGCATGCCCTGAGCAAGGAGCTGCACTCCAGCTGAGCCCCTGGCCCGCTCCCAGCACTGCCTCCAGCAGGGACGAGCAGTGGGAATGCTTCTAGGACTAGGGTGAGTCCAATGGCAACTGAACTCCAGCTGGAGGCTGGTGGGCACCACCCTGGGGACAGCCCTTCATTCCAAGGCCACCAAGGCAGCCCTCACTCCCAGATCTGGCAGACAGGATGTGGCCCAAACCCTGGACACACTTCCATGGCATTCGTGACCATCCTCACAGGCAGCTCGGTACCAGGCAGAGCCATGGGGCAGCTCCAGGGGTGCTGAGGGACACAACAGCCTGGACACCACCTCAGCCTCTGGGTTCCTGATCCCTGTGGGCTGGGGAAGGCCAGTTCTGACACAGCCCAGGGCATTTGCCACAGCTGCTTCCCACCCCTGAATCCAAAATCCCAGTGCTGCCCCTCCCAGCAGCTGGATGGTCCCTCCCCAGCCCAGGCGCTGCCCACTGCGCCACGGCACCTGGTAGGACAGGACATCTGCGTGGTGGCGCTCCTCCGACTCCTGCCTCTGCCTCTCCAGCGACTCCTGGGTCCCCTTGAGGGCTTCCAGCTCGGTGGTCTTGGCCTGGAGCTGCCGGCGGTACTCGGAGATCTCCTCCTGGGCCAAGCGCATGGCGTCCGTGTTCACCTTGGCCACCTCCGAGAGCTTGTCCAGCCTCACTGCGAGGGAAAAGGGAAGCTGCAGGGCGGGAGGGAAGGAGGCTGCAGCCTCCCCTCCCTGGGGAAACCCAAACCTGTCCGTGCCACGTGTCCCAGTCCTCTGCAGAGCCATCCCAGGCTCCCTGAGGGCTCTGCCTTCCCCACCCCTCGCTCCATCTCTGCCGGGAAGTGAAGGAGGACGGGCAAGACGAGCCCGGGGCTGTTTCTGCCATCCTGGACTTCAGCCAGCGCAGATCCTCGCTGCAGCACCAGCCTCCCCTTCAGCTGTGCCACATCCCCTGCCCCACAGCGCTGCCCCCCGCCAGCCCTGGCCCGAGGCGGGGGGGTTTTGCCGCAGCGCTCTGCGGACACCCCAGGGGACGAGGAGGGGCACAGCACGAGGGGACAGGGACGGGCAGCACCGGTCCTGCGGGCGCCCGGCTCGGCTCTGCCGCTGCCCGCGGTGCTGATCCGCCGCTGTCCGCGGTGCTGGAGCCGCCCTGCGCGCCGGGCTCAGCCTGGGCTGCCCACCCCACCCTCCGCTCCGTAGTGCCCCCCAAAAAAGACCCCTCTCTGTCCTCCCCTCCCGCGCCAGGGATGCGGTACCGCCCCCCCAGCACCGCAAACACCGCTGGCCTCGCCCCAGCACAACACCCTGCGGCATCGGGGGCGTCCGGCACCCCAAAACCTTGGGGGGTGCCGAGCCAGGGATCCTGGAACCCTCCTCAAAACTCACTGCGGGGCAGAGGGGAGTCGGGCAGCGCCCCCGCAAGCTCTGGAGCTCTGGTGGCTGGGCTGGGGTCACCCTGAAGCCCTCCCAGGGTGCTGGATGGACGGGAGGTCCCTGCACGCTCCTAGGGTGGGGACACGAACGCCCTCCCCGAGCACAATATATGGGAGCCCGGTGTCCCAACACCCTCCAGGAGCACAGTAGAGGTGGGAGGGGTCCCTGCGGCATCTAACACGACACAGAGGGCGGGGGTCCCCGCATCCCTCGGGCCTCCCTCTCTCCCTTTGCTCCCAGCCCCCGCCGGGGCGCGGCAGCCCAGGGTGTCCCGGGGGAGGTACCGGGATGCTGCCGGCGCGTTTGGCGGCCACCCCCTCGCACTCACCGCGGAACCACTCCTCGGCCTGCAGGGTGCTGCGGGCCGCCGTGCCCTCCAGCTGAGCGCGCAGGTCGCGCAGCGCGGCGGTGACGCCGGGGCGCAGCGAGGCGGGCGGCTCCGCGGGCAGCTCGGGGCGCGCCCCGCGCAGCAGCGCTCCCACCTCGGCGCGGTGCTGCCTCCGCAGCTGCTCCGCCTCCTCCCGCAGCGCCCGGGCCCGCTCCTCCAGCGGCGCCCGCGCCCGCTCCTCCTGCGCCGAGCGCTGCGCCAGCCCGCGGGCCGCCGCCTCCAGCTCCGAGCGCTGCCGGGCCTCGTCCTCCAGCCGTCCCCGCAGCGCCGCCACGTCCTCGGCCAGGCGCGCCCGCTCCAGCCGCAGCTGGCCCTTCTCGGCGCCCAGGCGCAGCACGGTGCCCCGCATGTCCCGCAGCTCCCGCGCGTACAGCTCGCCCATGGCCGAGCGCCCCGCCTGCTGCTGCCGCAGCGCCGCCGCCTCGGCCGCCAGCGCCCGGTTCTGCTGCTCCAGCGCCCGCACCCGCTCGATGTAGCCGGCGAAGCGGTCGTTCAGCACCTGCAGCAGCTCCTTCTCGTTGCGCGCCCGCGGTTCGCCGTTCAGCGAGTCCAGGCTCTCGGTGGAGGACGCGGCCGCGCTGCCGCCGCCCGCGCCCCGCGCCCGCCCCGCCACCGGGGCCGGCCACGAGTAGAAGCCGCTGGAGGCGGCGGAGCGCGGGGCAGCGCGGCCCGGCTCCTTGCGGAGCCCCCCCGGGGGGCCCAGCAGCGTCTCCAGCATCAGGCTCATGGCGACCCCCGCCCTCGCTGCGGCACCGGCGCGGCCGCCCGCTTTATAGCGCTCGGGGCGGCCGCTCCGCCCCGCCACCGGCAGCGGGGGTGGGCACCGGCACCGGCACCGGCACCGCCCCGCGCCGCCGCCGCAGCCCCGCGGGTGCGGGGGGACCCCGCTGCCACGCCCGGGTGGGAGCGGGAGCCACACCAGAAAGGAGCGGATGGTCCCCCGGCAGGAGAACGGGGACCCGGGGCACAGCGGGATCCGGGAGTGGCAAACAGGACCACCGGCAAGGGAGTGGAGAGCCCCCCGACAGAGAGCGGGACCCCCGGACAGAGAGCGGGACCCCCGGGAACAGAGAGCGGGACCCCCCGGACAGAGAGCGGGACCCCCGAGAACAGAGAGTGGGACCCCGGGAAGGGAGAGCGGGACCCCCGGGGCAGAGAGTGGGACCCCCCGGAACAGAGAGTGGGACCCCCGGGAAGGGAGGAGGGAGCTCCCTGAGGGAGGACACATCCCCCGGGCAGGGAGCAGGACCACTGGGAACACAGAATGGGAGCCCCGGGAAAGGAGCAGGGACACCCCAGGACGGAGTGGGGACCCCGCGGGAAGTGGAGAGCCCCTGCAGCGAGAAGGGATGCTCCGAGCAGAGGGGCGGAAAAGAGGAATAGAGGGTGGGACCTTCAGAGAGGGCGGGACCCCCGGGGCAGAGAGCGGGACCCCCGGGGGAGAGAGCCGGACCCCGGGAAGGGAGGAGGGAGCTCCCTGAGGGAGGACACATCCCCCGGGCAGGGAGCAGGACCACTGGGAACACAGAATGGGAGCCCCGGGAAAGGAGCAGGGACACCCCAGGACGGAGTGGGGACCCCGCGGGAAGTGGAGAGCCCCTGCAGCGAGAAGGGATGCTCCGAGCAGAGGGGCGGAAAAGAGGAATAGAGGGTGGGACCTTCAGAGAGGGAGGTGGGACCCCCGAGGACCCCAAAGAAAGGGAGTGGGGAGCTCCTGATGCGACCGTGGACCCCCTGGGCAGAGAGGTGAACACCTGGGAATGCAGTGGGATCCCCAGGAATAGAGAGTGGGACCCTGGGACCACCCAGTACAGAGCAGGAACCCACCCCGGTGTGAAGGAGAAAGGGGGGACCCCCGGGTGGCACAGACACCCCCTCCAAGGGTGGGGCCGTCCCTTGGTGTCCCCCGGGGGCAGGCAGTCACCGCGGCGGGGGGAGGTGGGCTCCTGCTGGCTGGGGGGGTACAAAGCAGAGAAGGTGTGAAGGAGAAAGGGGGGACCCCCGGGTGGCACAGACACCCCCTCCAAGGGTGGGGCCGTCCCTTGGTGTCCCCCGGGGGCAGGCAGTCACCGCGGCGGGGGGAGGTGGGCTCCTGCTGGCTGGGGGGTGGCGCCGGGAGGGTCCCCTGGGGGGACAGGGGACAGCCCTGCGGGATGCTCCGGGCAGGGAGGGACGGGAGGGCCAGGTGTGCCATCCCGGCTGGGATGGGGAAGGGGATGGAGACAGGGGTGGGGCGGGGGGATGTGACCCCCCAAACCTGCCCTTGGGACCGGGGCACGCACGGACCGCCCGGCCAATCAGCACTCGGGTACCATCCAGCCAATCAGCACTCGGGTACCACCCAGCCAATCAGCACTTGGGTACCATCCAGCCAATCAGCACTCGGGCACCACCCAGCCAATCAGCACTTGGGTACCATCCGGCCAATCAGCACTCGGGTACCATCCGGCCAATCAGCACTCACAGACAGCCCGACCAGTCATCCCATATGGACCAGTGGCCAATCAGCAGTCACAGACCACCCAGCCAATCAGCACTTGGGTACCATCCAGCCAATCGGCACTTGGGTACCATTCAGCCAATCAGCACTCACAGACAGCCCGGCCAGTCATCCCATATGGACCAGTGGCCAATCAGCAGTCACAGACCACCCAGCCAATCAGCACAGCTGCTGTCCAGCCAATCAGCACACAGTGAGCTCAAGATGTGGGCAGGTACTGACAGCTTCAGCCAATCAACAGCCAGGCCTGGAGATCCCAGCCAATCAACATACAGGCCCATAGATCTCAGCCAATCAGCAACCAGGTCCTTATACATTGCCCCAGCCAATCAGCAGACAGGAGTACAGATACCAGCCAATCAGCAGGCATGTGCATAAACATCCCCCAACCAATCAGCAGGAAGGAGCACTGATCCCAGCCAATCAGCAGGCAGATCCATAGATCCCAGCCAATCAGCACTCAGGCCCATAGATCCCAGCCAATCAGCAGGCAGGAGCTCTGATCCCAGCCAATCAGCAGGCAGCTCCGTGGTGCCCGGAGCAGCCCTGCTGTCCCGGCTGTCCCCCCAGCTGTCCCCTGTGGGAGCAGGGTCCCACCCCGTCCCTTGTCCCACAGGAGCCACGGAAGCGGGGCCGGGAGCAGCCAGGAGCAGAGGGAGGCTGGGCACCCGCAGGTGACACGTCCCGGGAGGTGCTGGGGACACGGGGACAGCAGCACCGGGCATCCCGAGCGGCTGTGTGCCCGCCCGGCTCCTGCTGGGACCATGGGGCACCCACGGGTGGGGACAGGAGTGCCCCGGAGGGTCCCTCCCACCCTGGGGAGGGGTGACCCTGTCCCCACACCTGTGTCACCCCGTTCCCAAGCCCTGTCTCCAGCCCCTTTTCTCTGTTTCCGTCCCGACCCATGGGGTGTCCCCTGTCCCCGTATCTCTCTGCTCCATCCCACATTCCCATCCCATGTCTCCATCCCCTGTCACTATCCTTGTCCCCATCCACGTCCTCATCCCAAGCCCCATCCTCTATCCCCGTCCCCGTCCCCATACCATGCCCCTGTCCCTGTCCCCATCCTCAGTCCCTATCCTTGTTCCCATACCCCACCCCCATCCCCTGCTCCCATCCCAGGTCCCCATCCCCAATCTGTATTCCCATCCTCTCTCCTCTGTATGTCCCTATCTCCTGTCCCCATGCCCTGTCCCCATTCCATGTCCCTATCCCTGTCCCATCCCCATCCTGGTTCCCCCATTCCCTCTCCCCCATCTCGGTTCCCCCCTTCCCTCTCCCCCATTCCCTCTCCCCATTCCCTCTCCCCATTCCCGCTCCCGTTCCCAGCCCCGCCCCTCCCGCCGTGGCCCCGCCCCACCCGGGCCCCCGCCGGGGCTGGGGCCGCGCCGCGTCCTTCTGGCCCCGGGCCCCTCCCGGCCCCCGACCTGAGCTGGGCCCGGCGGTGTCCCCGCTGTGAGCCCTGGCCCGGCCCCCGCCTCGCCCCGTGTCCCTGCTCTGGCCCCGTGTCCCCTCCCGTGTCCCGGGCTGTGTCCCCTCCTCAGTCCGGGCTCTGTCCCCTCCTCAGTCCGGGCTGTGTCCCCATCCCCGGCTCCTCAGTCCGGGCTGTGTCCCCTCCTCATTGCTGTTGTTGTTGCAGGAGCCGGCCGGGGCACACGGGTGTCCCCCCCCCGCAGCCTCCCCGGGCCCGGTCCCGTGTCCCGCTGTCCCGGCAGCTCCGTGTCCCAGCGCTGCCCCCCCGGCTCCTTCCCGCAGGGATCGCCCCGGGATCTGCTGCCATCCCGGGCACCGGGGGCCACAGCAGGGCCCCGACGGGCACGGGCTGGGGACACGGGGTGAGCCCGTCACCCCCTCAGGGCATGGCACATCCACAGGGAAAGGTCTTGGCTCTGCGTGGGATAAGCAGGGAGCTGATCTCCTGTGCTCGCTGCCTCCTCCAGGGAGATTCTGGGGGGAAAAGCCCCAAAGTGGATAAAGAGGAGCTGTGAGGCAGCTGCAGCCTGAGGGAGCCGTGCTGCTGTTGCTGTTGTTGTTGCAGGAGTTTTGTGTGGAGTTCAGGGGCTCCCATCCCTGCAGCAGTGGGGGCTCAGCTGGGGGTTTGTGCCTGCTCTCTCCTGGGCTGACAGAAAATGGGATAAGCCTGGCATGAGCAGTGGGACTGGTGTGGTTTGTGGCTCCCACACCCATTTGTGGGGTCACACTGCCAGGCTGAACAGGCTGTGGCACCCCAAGGGGCTTTCCAGAGGTGTTGGGCCTTGCTTGGATCAAGCCAGGCTGGGAACTCCGTGGCAGGAGGTGTCCACCCTGCAGAAGCTGGCTCTGCCAGGAGGGGAACATCCCCTCTGCCACGGGAGCCTCGTGCTGTGGCCAGGACAAGGTCCTTGGTGTCCCTGAGCTCACTCAGCCAGTTTGGGGTGCCTCCCAGCTCAAGGTGATAAAAGTCCCCCAGCTCTCAGAGCGTGGGGCCCTGTGGCAGTGGGATCCTGGCAGTGGGTGCTGCAGGGGACACCTCAGCACTGTCCTTTTCCCTTGAGTTTATCCCCCAGTTATTGCTTGATGGGATGCGTTGCTTGCAGCTCCTTTGCTGCTGCCACTGCTTTGGATCTGCCAGAGGTGTTTTGGATTTGCTTTGGGCACCTTGCTGATGGCTCAGTGAGTGTGGCTCCTACCCCTGAGTTATCCAGGTTTTTGTTTTTGTCTGATGGAGCTGGAGCCTCTGGAATGCCCATGGGTTGGTCAGAAGCAGATTGGTGAGAGGGTGGGGATGGTCCTGGGTGGGATGCAGCAGAATCACAGCCCTGAGCTGCTGCAGGGCCCAGCTGGGGCAAAAACTGCCTCCAGTCAGGCCAGACAGGGGAAAATATCCTACTGGGAAGGTGAGTGGGGCTGCTGGAGGGTTTGTGGTGGTCTGGCAGAGGTGGGTGAGCCCAGGGATGGGGCTGTGGGGTGTGGGATGAGCCCAGGGATGGGGGCTGTGGCTGTAGGATGGGAGACCCTGCTGTGAGTAAGGAGGGAAGACCTGGGCTCAGCACGAGGCTCTGGAGCTGTTGGGTTGGGTCTCCTCAGCCTCTGGTTCTCTTCCTGCACCCTGGGGTGTTTCTCTGCCTTGGCTGGTGTTTGTGGCAGCTCCTGGGGTTTGTCCAAGGAGCAGGGATGTGCTCACAGCTGTGTTGGTGTCGTTATCTTATTTTTATTTTTTATTCATGGATGGGATGGGACTGTTGGAGTGCATTTCTTTGGTTTTATTTGAAGTATTACCTTTATTCCATGGCTGAGACAATAGGAAGGTGGTAAAGCTCATGTACAGCTAGTAGCAGCTAAAGGTTTCTTTGTTACAGGATATTTTAAAAACTTTTA